AAAACAGCTACAGAAAATAAACTGGCCCACCGTCTGGGAAACGTGGGCTGACAAATGAACTGCTCACTCACTCCCACCACTTGGAATGGCCGCGCACCTGGTTTTGATGAATTATGTCCTTAGGAGAACTGGTGGTGTTTCTCTCTTTGGGGGAGTAAGGCATCAAAACTGTGAGTATTCAAAACTAGCAGTGAAGTCTGATTGATGGAACTTATTAAATGAGAGCTGTATTTCAAACACAAGTAGGACTGAGCATAGAATGAATGCAAAGTCAATGGGACAAGTCACTGACTTCAGTTTTCCTTTACGAAGGGGCAACAACAATGGAAAAGGTAGAAGCTGGATGGAGTGAAGCTGCTTAACCTTGCTGAGACTCTATAACTTGGCTCTCTATTACTAATGAGAGCTGGGGAGAGTTTCAATGAGACTGTGTGTTTGAGGTGTCTGGCACACATACAGCGGGGCTTAGTAACGCTTCATCTTCTCTTACTGCCTGCCACCCGACCAGAGCAACGACTTAACTTTTATCACCACATCTGGTCCGTAGGACAGTGACAGACATGTAACAATTATCCAAGGGGATAATTAAGGGGAAATACTGATGACTTTATTTCCTGGGATGTAGCAAAAAAGCTTTAGAGAATACAAGTGGGTGAGGTAAAAGCAGACATTTCTAATCCTTTAATTCAGTAGAGGCTGGCATACAGAGACAATCAGGGGAAAGAAAATGAAGGAAGAGCATTATCTCTAGAACTGGCCTAAATCTAATGCTTCAAAATTCAACTGGTGACTGACTACAAGAGACATTTTACTTCATGCTCTTTTTTTACATTTGTCAAGGTTGAAAGTAGACAGAAGTAGGAATTGATTCTAATAAGGATTAAGGAAAAAAAGGTCACTGGTATTTCTGTTGATCAAGCAAATAAATCAAATGAAAATGTCCCTCTTACTCATTTTCCCAACTGCAAGAGAAACCTGGCACATGATAGAGGAAATAAAGAGGTCTCAGGATTAAATGAAGTAGCAAAAGGAGGAAAATTTCAAGAAAGCAAGGAAAAAAAACCCCAAACAACCTGGACTAACAAACAGCTCCACAAAATCAATGATGTTGTCCAGGATTTTTATAACTCTAGAGAGGAATGAACGGGTGTTAGCGAACATCTCTGATAATTTCACATTAACAATGGCAGGGGTGCACTGTTGTTCATACATCCAACTCACAATCTAAATGCTAACAGAAGTGTCATAACCAGAGGAAAGACGGGAACAACTCAATTTCTATCTTGCCAGAAATCAAAGGATCTAAAATTCAATTCAAGTGGTGAATGAGATATAGAAATAGATTCTAATTCTAAATTGGAACCAAGGTCTCACACAGAATGTTTTAGGCCAAATCACACCCCACACTGACATCAAAAGCTATGTAGAAGCCAGTTACGTTTATTGAGTGTCTTCAATCTGCCAAGTTCTACTCTAATTATGTTTCCATATATACTCAGGAATCCTCATGATTGGATCCTTTAAAAACAAGTAAACACAACAGAAACTATAATTTACAAAGGAAGACCCTGAGAATGGAGAGGATAAGTAACTTTCCCCAAAGCATATAATCTAGAAAGCACCAGAAAGAGAAGCATAGGCCAGGTTCTAATTATCCTCTAACTCTTACAGTGGACCTGTTACGCCAGCTGTGATTAAATGGAAATTTTTGTAAAGCTCAGAGTTTCAAGGTTATTCCGATTATTAAAATTCAAAAAAGTTGTTCATAGTTTTCTCCCCAGGGGAATTAGCTCCACCCCTTCCCGGCTCAATTACCTGCATCTATTCTTCCAATTTCATTTGACTCTTAAAGATAACAAATGCATAGCATGACACCAAGAATTGTTGGCATCACTAATTGTTGACAATCAATAAATATAATAGTTGTTCAATAAGTGTGCACTGAACTAAATTCAGCTGAACAAAAGGAAAACTGCATCTGCATAAAAACTGATCATCTGCATAAGAAGACAGTGGAATAGGCTAATGAAGCACCTTTCACATCTTGGGAAGAGAAAAAATAGTTGAAAGTTCGGAAATGAAACACCCAGAATCCATTATTAAGTATATATGACCTATCACATCTTCAGACAGCCTTGTCTGCCCACATTCCTCTCAATTTAGCTTCATCAGGGTCTCGATTTTTCTCTTAGCCACATCCTTCCTTCACTGGGAGTGGGGGTAGGGTGGCAGTTTCAAAGAAACAGAACCAGGTCACAAATAATTGCAGTCCCTTTCCATCTGAACCATTCTCCCACACCTTCCCAGCTCTAGCTCAGGAGATGGAAAATGAATGTTGGGGTGGGAATGGAAACCCCTCTGCCTTTACCTTGGCAGTCTACTCCAACATGCAAAGTCTGAGGAAGGCGTGAGATTAGCTCAGCTTGTCAATCAGGGAGCACAGTTGGATTCTGGCTAAGTTCTATAAAAGGGAATAGGTAAGGAAACTCGAAAATTAACTGAATGAGGAACTTTTTCCTCAGGGAAGGAAACATTCTTTTACGTGACCTCTTACTGGAGTAAAGGTTCACCCATAGCTCCAGGCCTTACTCTTCAGGAGAAGGAAATGAGAAGGTGACTTTAGGCCACCTAAGTCAAGAACGTACTCAAATGCTACAAAATCAATTTGCCAGCAATCTGCTAATGAGAAGTACCCACACACAACTTTCAGAGCTTTTAATTACCAAGAGGTACTTTAAGTCTCTCATTAGCTTAGAGGGTTCCCATAATGGCCTTGGGGAAGGCCATAGTGAACTTTGTCAAAAGGAAAAAGAAATCTGACTGGATCTCACAGAAGATAGAGAAGCAAAGGTGATGGAGAGGCCTAAACTTCAAAGAATACAGGTCACTTGCCCTATAACATATGTTTGTCCTCCATCCCAAAAAGAAGCAGTCCCTGTCTCCTTATGGCAGGTGAGTACTTGAGACCCACAAGGAAAGTTATGGCAAAAAAACATTTAATTTAGCCTCTAAATGGAGACACTGTTCATCATAACTATCAAATAGCAATAGCATACAAAGCCAGGGGCAGGAATAAAAAGAAATGGCAGCCAATAGTCAACTAAGAGCACATCCTCTAAAATTAGCCTGCATCCACTTTACAAGCCACTAGGTCCACCCCACCCATAAAGGATGGAGGGGAAAGCCAACTACTTCTGGTAATCTACTCAGTCTTTCTTATATAGCTTGCCTGGATAAAATCTTAATTTCTCATATGCTTAATTTTCATAAAGGTAAAATGGAGCTCATTGAAGCCTAAAACAACCTTCACATGATTTTGTAAAATGCTCGGCAATCCTTAAAAAAAAAAAAAGAGAGCGAGCACTTTTATCTAAATTTAAGGATACAAATGAAAACAAAGATCGAATAAAAAGAAAAAGGTAAGTCAACCTGTAACGAAAGCTAAATTAGCCATCAAGCACATGAAAAGATGCTCAACACTGCTAATCACTAGGGAAGTATAAGCCAAAATCACAATGAAATACTACCTCATACCCATTAGATTGGTTATGGTTTTAAAAAAAAATCAAATAGTAAAGAACTAGTGTTGGTGTGAACGTGGAGAAAATGGAACCCTTGTACACACTGTTGTTTGGAATGTAAAATGCAGCCAATATGATAAACTGTTGGCAGTTTCTAAAAAGTAACAATTCTATAGATCCAATAATTCTATTTCTGGATATACATACAAAAAGATTGGAATCCGGGGTCTCAAAGACTTATCTTCATACTCCATATTCATAGCAGCATTATTTACAATAATGAAAAAGGTGGAAGTAACCCGAGTCCCTCGCACGAATGAATGGATACAAAATTGTGGTATATCCATACAGTGGTTTATTATTCAGCCTTAAAATGGAAGAAAACTCTGATATATGCTATAACAAGACATGTGAACCTTGAGGATATTATAAGTAAAGGAAACTGATCATAAAAGACAAATATCACATGATTTCACTTACATGAGTACCTACTCAACATCATAGAGGCATAAAGTAGAATGGTGATTGCAGATTAGGGTAGAGTAATGGGGAGTTATTGTTCAATGACTACAGTTTCAGCTTTGCAAGATCAGTTCTACAGATGGATGGTGTTCCATTTAGATAAAATTTAGATGAAATTTCCAAATTTAGATAAAAGTGCTCGCTCTCTCTTTTTTTTTTTTTTTTTTTTTTTAAGGATTGCCAAGCATTTTACAACAGTATGAATGTACTTAATGCTACTGAAGTTAATAGTTAAGGTTGAGAGAGCTGAGGTAAAAAAAGCTGTAACACAACAGGATGAATTGTCCCAAGTCCTGTTTGAACAGGCGGACTAAGTCACAGACTGGCAACCTATGTTCAAACAATAGGGCCTACTGCACTGACCATGAGGCATCATGACAGATAAAAAGACTAGATTCTGACTAATATCATCTCACAATTTTCTGGAGGGAGAAAACTGGGAGCCCACATGTGTAGTTTGAATGTAACTCACTTGAGAATGCCTGGGCACAGCCCAACCCAAAACAAGCTATGCTGCTGTTCAACTCCTCCAGACCTCGGACTTACCCTTTAAATATCTCCTCCTAACTCGTTTTGGTTAGCAAGGTTATAGTCTCCTTTTCCCAAGTGGTTCCCTCATATGCAAGTTTCTAATAAAGCCTTGCCTGGTTCAACTACAACTAGTACTCTCTGGTGAATCCTTGACCTACAGGGCATAGGAGTCATGGTGGTACATTTTCTATTATGTTGCTTCCCCATCTTAAAAACTGGGGGAGAAAGTAAATAACTCAGTCTGTTTTTCCTTCAAGGGAAAAAAAAAAAATCACCTTACATGGTAGCACAGAAGAACAATGAAGAAGGAGATCATTAGTCTTCCATGTAAAAATAACACAGTTTTAAGGTTTTCCAAATCCAGATTCAGCTAATAAAATACACATACTCCCAAGCCTACCCCTCAAATCACAAGAAGCTACTCACCTCACTGAGGTAAATAAAAAAGGAGCAGGTGGATCCATCCACTCCATATTCTGCGTAGCAGGGATCTGAGCGCCACATATCTTTCATCCACTGAAACGAGAACAGGTAAGAACTATCAAGAGCAGGTCATATTCAGTGCCTTGCACATATGCTGATAGAGAAGGTGAAGGGCAAGGGTGGGGTGAAGGGCTCAAGCTATGATCTGAAGACCAGAGAGACGGAATCACAGAGCTGAGGTCAAGATGCCAGACTCCCAGCTCCTGATGAATCACAGGCACATGGTGGAAGAGCTTACAGTGGAGAGAGGCCGTGGTACACACCAGAGCAATGACACTCAGTAAAGACAATGCTAGGACAGTTTTCTCAAAACCAAGAACTGATGGGAACCTTACATGGAAGGTCCCTCTCCCCCAGGTTCCACCAGCTTTAGTATAGGCCTGGACAAAGTATGGGAAGCAGTGCAGATGTGCAGCGTGTGGATGAACCCCAGAGACCATGCTGATGCTTCTGGGGTATAGTCTCAGCATCCTAGGTGTATGTCTGAACCAAAACTTTTCCCTGAAAACTATTAGCAGGGGAGTGGTTTCCCCAAGGACAAGCCCTATAAGTAGGTTTTTTTAAAAAAAATGTTGAGCGTGAGGAACAGCCAAGTGTCTCTGGGTATTTAACTGCAAATGCAACATTTAAATCACTATCTGGAGACCTCACAGCAAGGGCCTGGACACAGGGATTTGAAGTCCAGCACTAAATAATGGCAGCTCCTTGTCACTGACCCTTGAAGGATCACCTGCTGGAGACTGGGAAAGAGGGGAGGCCATTCAAAAGGCACAGCAGGCGCCTGAAATGGCCCAGATTCTTTCAATCCCATCAGTTAGAGCCATTGTTGACTAACCCATGGAGCTGGCAGAAGCAGAGAAGGGTCGCCATGGCCACAGCTTCAAACTGGCAGGATTGGGGCACCCTTCAAATGACTCCTGTTCCCAACTGTATAGATGGAAAATGTAGAGGGGGAGAATAGGGGTGACAACGCAGGTTGAAGATGACAGAAATGAGAATGCATCACTTGTGTCTTACCTTGATTTTCCCCTCGCAGTGGGGGTAGCCATCCATAGGAGGCAATACACATTTTTCTTGAGCTCCATTAATGATATCTAAAGGATAAAGAACAAAGGATACCATGAAGTTTATGAAACAGAAGCCTGACATCTTGTGAGCACAGGGCGGAGAGAGGAGTACACAACAGAGGTTTCTACTGGTAGAAACCAGCCTGCAGCTGGAGAGTCTGTTGGCTTGCTCCTGTAGATTCCTATTTCTTGCAACTACAAATCACAACCAACCTGAATGACTTCAGGAAACTTAGTTTAGTGGTAGACGGCAAATAATTACACAATTGAACAACAGTGTACAGACATTCTGTTAGGGTAGAGTAAGGCAGGGACACCCACCCCAGTCTCAAAGGGTCACAGGGGATTTCTGGGTCCAGAAACATCTTAGCTAGATGTCAACTAGGAGTGAGCCAGATAGAGGGACAGCAGAGAGATGACATTCAAGGAACTCAGGTGGTCCCAAATGGAGGGACATGCTTCTGAAGACGTGTGAGGTCTGAAAAGGTAGCAGAATCTGGCAAGACCCAACAGGAAAAGCATGAGACACTGTAATAAATACTCTGGTATTCATGCTAAAGGAATGAGCGCTGAAAGGTTTTAAGGGCAGATGGTTATGATCAGGCTTTTAACGTAGGGCAGATACATCATTTTAGCTGGAAGTTAGAACAACCCTACACCCAAAATCAATATATATTTTTTTGGACTTCCCATATTTTCCAGAAATGCTTGGGAAATGTCACCATTACTTATTTCTAACAGTTTTTTTACCAAGTACTAATGAGAAATTAGATCTTAAGCTTCACTATCATTTGACAATGGTATTTAAACGTCAGTGACTGTTGGGGCTAAAAAAGTTAATGGTAAGTAGCTGTGCCTGTCTCTTGAAAACAAGTTCTTTGGATAGTCAGAACTTCTTGACCTCTTGGTTTAATGGACATGCTACTCACTAAGGACAGCTAGAGCCTAAAAATCAGGATTTTATCACAGATCGGAAGGAGCATCATTTAATAGCTAACATGGGAGATGCTTAGCCTGTCAGAGCTTCTGTCTCCTCATCTGTAAAATCGAAATGACTGCACCTCTGTTTCATTCAGTTTTTATTAAATAGTTAACATTTGCAGAGTGCGGTCTGGTACTCCCAACAGCTGATACCACAGAACACAGCAGGTGCTTAAAAGTTGGCAGTCGCTAAGTAATTACATACAAATTCACTCACTATATCCAGGAAAGCATTATTTCAAATGCACAGCTGCTTCTGGAAATGTGTTCTCTGATTGTGAAATGAACACAGGCTGGAGGTACTAGATGTCCCTATGGCTCCTTTTCTCTCCCTTGTAAGGGGACTAACCAATGGCAGCCTCAACAAAGAACAGCCAGTGCTTTTCAATGGCAGCTACTCCTATCATTTTTAATTCCGGTTTTGCTTAGCAACATCTGCCAAGCCAATGAAAAGCAGTCAAAATATCAAGAAATTAACCTGGGGATTTGGGGTGTTAGTAACCAGACATTTAAGGGATGCTTAGAGGGAAATGTCCCCTTTTTTCACTCACTAGGTACGAGGCCCACAAGCAAAAACTGGTTCCAGACAGTGGGGATCCTCTTTATTAAGAGATTTCAGAAACAAAAATATGTTTATGCCATTGGTCAGCAAAATTTTGATCTTAAAGACCAGAGAGCAGCTATTTCAGATGCTGCAGGCCACACAGTCACTGTGTAACTACTCCACTCTACTGCTGTAGCAACGAAAGCAGCCACCAAAAACAGGGGAATGAACAGGCGTGACTGTGTTCCAGTAAAAGTTTATTTACAGAAACAGGCACACAGCGCTGGGTCTGCTGTGCTAACAATGTCCCCGAATGAGGTTCCATTTCTGCAAAGACCTGCTAAACCTTCTTTAAGGATATCTGCAGATGATACTCCACCGGGAGTGCCCTAATCCTCACCCCTTCCATGCTCCATCCTCTCTCCACCCAGCTCAAGTATCACCTCCAGAAAAAAAAGTCATCCTTCTCAGTCTTCACACAAGGATGGGAATCAGGATTTACTTGGGATCGTGTGCTGCCCTCCTACAGAGGTCTCTCTCACCACACAAGCAATGTCCTTCTTTCCTTTACATCTGTCCATCTCTCCCCTCCCCAGAACAGGAGGAAATAATGGGAAGGTGATACCTTTCTGTTCTATCACCAGACATTCAATAAGCGCTATTTGAGTGAATAAGCACATGGATGCACCTTCTGCCTGCCCCCCTGTGCCGAACTTCTGCTCACAAGTCGACTGAGCTGAGATCCCTGCTGGGCCTGGTTGTTACTCTCCCTCCAACTGGCAGTCTGTCAACTAACCTGAAAAAGTCTCCTCTGCAATTCCATTTTGACAGATTTTCTCTCATCTATTTAGTTACACAATGCTGAGTTTGAACAGATAACAAATTCTAAAATTCTAGTTTAAAGGCTCAGGTTCTGGGGTAGAAGGGAATTGAGAAAGGGCCAGGGGTCACGTTGCTCCCTGAATCTCGCCACCAGTAACCTGAACAAGACTCCATTACCTCATAGCTCTGGAGGAATTTTGGCTTCTCTGAGGACAGTTTTCCATTTTGTTTCTATCACAATGACAAAAACGCAATAAATAATGTTTTTATTAGTGTGTGTTCACAGAAGATTTTTCCTACCCTTGGAAAAGCCTCCAGTCTAAGCTTGGAGAAGAAAATTCAGGTCGAAAAGGTTCATGTTACTGCTTACCAGTAACATGAGACTTAGCCTATGCTCCGGAGGAGAAAGGGTTCTATTAAGCTTCATACTCCTCAGCACTCCCACCTTTTTTTTTTTTTTTTTTTTTTTTAAACCAGTGAAGGCACAAGGAAAGGATAGGATATTAATTTAAGCAATGAGGCTCATGTTTTACTACTGTTCAGGGTTCACTCTCATCACTCGCTCTCACATAGCAGCTTAAATTGTGTCTTTCATGGACAACTTCACCTCTGTACTATTCTAAGGTACTGTTATCCAGCTACCAAATAAAAAGGCAAATTACCAGGTGTAAAAAAATCTGTTGTTTTATCTGTCATTTGTACCCACTCAAGATCGTAAGAGCTTGAATCTAACAGATTAATCTGAGAATGCATTTCCTGTTATCAAAAAAATCTCATGACTCAGGCAGAACACTTGCACGGCAAGAGCGAAAGTGTCAAAACATGCTGTAAATGTACCCAAGGGGGGTGTCCCCATCGAGGATGGAGCCAGAGCCGCCTGACAGTCCTGATATACATACATATGTTGAAAGAGACATATAGACAGACAATGGCATTTTAAATATATCTTTGAAAGTGACAGCGACAAGATATATGAGACTTGGTAAACAGACTTTTTTCATTCATGCTTTTCTGTCCTTCTGTTGAGGGAAGGAAAGTGGGGTACCAGGAGGGCAGAATTAAATGGTAATGGGCTCACAATAGGATGGTGAGAACAAAACTAGGGTGCCCCAAGATAAGAAGTGAAGGGTGCTAACTTGCCTCGACATATTATCTGCCATTCAAAATATCTGTCATATACCTGATCATATTTTATTCTCAACATCCTCCTGAAAAAGGAAGACAGTCACCTCATCTTCAAGTTTGGAAAGGGGAAACTTTAAAATCCTCAACATCCATCTCCAACTCAACTGGCAGTTTCTCCGTACATCTTTCAAAAGCCTGGCATTTTGCCAAGCGCTGAAAAGTCTGTTATATCCTTGAAAGATGTGGTCTATTCCTTCAAGGAGTTCCCTAAGGTGTGAGGGGAAGAGGGACCACATGCAACAGGGCTGGGAGACCCTCCCCAGAAGTGGTAAGGAGAGGGAGAGCGAGAGGTGTTTGTAAATAGCCCCCCGCCCACACACAGAAAAAAACCAACAAATTTCAGAGTGGAAGCTGACTCTAATGAGAGGAGCGCCTCCTTCATCGAAGCACATTGTACAACAATTACAGCAAAGATGACAAGAGTTTGAAATGGCACATTTGTCTAAGAATTTGTAGAAAACAATGCCATTAACTTTTAATCTAAAACTGTACAGGCATTGAAGTTTACAGATATTTCATTTCTTCACCACCTCTATCTTAAAGATGGGGGAGCAGGCAAAGGGGAAAACAGAAAAAACGTTTTGAAAACAGAACTCTTGGGCCTCCTGGTGTCACAAGGGGTTAAGACGCAACCTATGAAGCTATCCACAGCCTCTGCAGCATGAGTTCGATCCCCCGGCCAGCCAGGGAGCAATTCACATGGCACAGCAGACCTCTCCTGACTCACCCCCTGCTCCTCTCAGCAGTGTATTTTGGTCAGTCTGCCTGTTCTGTTCCCCATTCTCTCTCTGGTGAATCCTGTCACCGTCCCCCCCCCCACGTCTGGCCTGTACCCCAGCTCTTGTATGCATAAAATAAAATAAATCTTAAAAAAAAAAACCAGAACTCTCATAAAACACGACCATCTCTCCACCCCTAGAAAGTTTTAGGAAACTGAGTTCAATGTTGCTGTCCAGTTCCTTTGCCAGCAGTTAAGATAACCATCTTCATGAGCAAGGGCTTGGTGCAGTCCAGAGGTACCCCCACACATTTTGTCTCAAAAGATAAAAGGGTCTCCAGTGATTCTGCTTTGTGTGTAAGACAAGGCAGTGTTTCTCCCAAAACACCTGATAGGAAACAGGTGGCCTCATTATCAGATGGCCCCAGCTGGCGCCCTCATGGTCATGCCACTGGCTCGGTTGCTTTGTGCCAGCCAGAAACTAACTCTATCTCTATGCTCAGCCCGGGGATCCAGCTCCTGCCAGCACTTTCATCAGCTGGCCTTGCTTCAAGAGTTAATAGCAATAAATCGAGTAGAAATCAACCATGGTGAAATATAACCTCCCATTAAAAACGACCTCACCAACCATTCTCAGTTTGGCAAATATTCATTTAGGACCACTTTACTTTTGCATTAAGAAAAAAAACTGATTTAATTTCCACAGGTGAGTCACATACACATATTCCAGTCCCAGCAATGGTAATAAGTTGTCCTCTGACCACCAAAGGACCCGGG